TGTATGTGTATATGTATGTGTATGTGAATGTCTGTGTGAGTGTATGTATGTGCCGGAAATCAATGGCCAAAGGAAGACCCCGGCTCAGGATTTGGCAGCCAGTCTCATGTCACACGGCTTGCGTGTGACCAGTACCCCCAAAACCCAGGGTCCCAGCCGGAGAGCTGAAGCTTTGAACACATGTTGCTAAGCTTTGGTCGAGCGTGGCAAAACTGGAAAGGCCGGTAAAGGACCTAGAGTTTAGAGTCTGCATGTAAGTCTTGCATCTCCTCGAAGACTCAGCTGCTTGGCTGCATCCGCGGCCCGGTGCCCGTGTCAGACATTTTCTGAAGGCTGAACGCGACCGTTGCTGCTCCCGAGCTCGAGGAGGTGCTCGGCTCCGGGCTGATCGCTGTGCCCTGGCAGCATGCAGTCTTGCACGCCCTTGCGTGTGAACGAATCCAATTCCGCGTTTGACAGGACTTGCAGAGATTGGGAATACTCTGGAGGTGGGAGCATGAGACGCTTTTCAGCACGATGCCATTCCTTCCCCTCCAAGTTTGGCAACTGGCGAATCGCAGTACACTAGCTTTTTCGGCAGGCCTGCACCGCAAAGTGGGTGGCAGTCGACTGTTCAGCTTGCCCCAGTGGATCTGCAGAAACCTTTCGCACGCGGCACGCTCGCTGCATTTCGTGGTGCATTCCGAGTCTCTCCGTCTGCACCAATTCCCGACCAGTCTCCATGTTCTTCTTCGTGGACTGGGACGAGCTGCGACCGTGGCACCAGGCTCGGCAACGATTTTGAGACATGGGCCAGCACACGGTTGAAAAGGAGCATGAGTACCTGCATGTCGCGATTGTGATGAAACAGATCAGGTGATGACAGTCACCATTGACAGCTATGCGCTGCTGCGAGCCCAGGCAGCTCCGAGACAGAGTACGATTGTCCCAGTAGACAAGCGCTTGAAGGTCTTTCAAGGATCGGTTTCGACAATTGCGAGGGGTGTGCAAAACTCGAACAACAGAACTGCTTGTGAAATGTAGCTCATCGGCATCGTTTAGGCCTGGAAGTTTGCACCTATCAGTACAGGAGGGCTCCATGGACGTAAGTACGGTGACATGTCTGGAAAGGACATGCGCAACTTCGATGACGGGGTCCTCAACAGATTGATGGCTTTGCTCCTTCAGTTTATCAATCTTGAACGAGTGAGACAAAAAGCCTGCGGTACAAACAGCTTCAAGCACGAACTCCATCTCGGTTTCTTAGGTTGGTGGCACAGGCCTGGGGTGAACGACAACACTCTGGAAACGTTTCGGCCCATCAATCTGACACTGAGGCACTGCTACCACTGCAAGCTGCTCCAAAACGTGTGCTGGAACCTTGGTTGCAGGTCGTTCATCGTTCCTCAAGCGCTGGAGCAAACTTCAGCTTCAGTTCACAGCGTCTCCGAACGATGCTCTCAGGATTTATGTGCCGGAAGTGGCGCCGGATCCCTGGCCTTCTGTACTTGTTGCGGCATAAAAAAAGCTTGCCGGCCATTCAGAGCTCTCCGATCACTGCATGTAAAATTCTGCCCGAAGCTAGATGGCATCCAGAAGTCGGGGCTTTGTGCACGACTCCTGCAGTGGAGTTTGGATTGAGGTCCAGGGGCTCTATGCCGCGAAGCGCTTCGCTGCTGCTGCCACACTCGTGGCCAGGGTCCCGATTGAATCGAATTGTGTTGTAATCATTCCCGATTCGGGGTGTACTCCCCCGCTTGAGTTCGCAACTTCGAGCTTTTGTGATCAGGATCTGAACCCGCGTGCAGTGCGCTTTGCGCCACCTGGCCGCAGCAACGGCAGAACGAATTTAGATGCCTGCTTGGCAGGGTGAGGTTTGTTTAGCGCAAATCTGCAGCTTGACTGGCATCACGCGTCGTCACAAGAGATCTCAAGGCTAATGGGCTTTTCCTGATAAATCCGTGGCGTGCCTGGTGTTGGCTGGACTCTCCTGAGGAAGGCAAACGTTCTGCTGAACCAAGTGTCCAAAGTGACTCTTCATCACGGCAACCTCTTTGAGGTGCCCCTTCTCCTTGGCGTGGGATTACATTGAACGCAGTTAATGTCTCGCCACTGTCTGGGGTAATGAGGGTCCACTTGCTAGACCGCAGGGTATTGTCTGTTATCCCGCGTGGTTTCCTGGCTTCTCAAAGTGAGATGTTCGTCCATAGAGTACTGACAACTGGGCAGAATGTGTACCAACCAAGAAGTCCTTGCACCGTCCGCATCGATACAGCATCACTCTCGTTCATTCTCGTTCGTGAAGTTTAGTTGTTGGCTAAGCAAAAGCTGCCGCCAGGCATTGCCCAATCGGTGCCGTGACGAAATTGCCAGGCCGGTTAGTTCATCTCTCTCGCAGGCGGCATCCGACTCTCTCCCTTTTGCAGCGAAAAAACCATGCCTGCAAGCGTACGTGGCGGAGACATATGCGGAGACCGTGCGCGCGAGTTGGCTAGCCCTGCAAGGTATTCCCCGATGCTAGACTGCAGCCACGGACTATTTGCCTGGCGCCAAAACCAGATGTCGTGAGAAGACCCTGCTGCCACAGCATCAAGGATTTGATCTTGGCGAATCCACCATACGTGCCTTCCACCGGACCTGTCCTGAGACATTTGTAGCGGAGTCTGCAAGAACGTCATGATGACAGCAGTCTTGGATGCCTTTTTTGCATTTCCGTCGAAGCCAACGACGTTGCTCGTGCTGCAAGAGGAAAGTCAGCTGCAGTATGCTGCAACTTGACGGTACTGTTCGCAGGTGGTGGACAAATGTTCGTTTCTGGAGGTGATCGAGGAGAAGATGCTCACACCTCAGAGGCTGTGAAAGCTTGAACAAAGAAGAACACAACCCAGGCCAAACAAATGTGGCGGCCCTGTTCGGGTGCGTGTTTCAGTTCGGCCTTGAGACTGACTGCACTTGCTTCTTCCAGTTTGTGTGACATTTTCAAAGTTCCCTACGCTGACTCTATTACAGTCTATGTCACCCTAGCTTGCTTTCGAGAGTGCTTTAGGCCCACGGAGGAGAGCTACGCCCTGCTACCCTCGGTTTGTGATGTGTTTAAACTAGCCCGTTGCCTTATTGGCGCCGGCAGGTCCTGGCATAGCCTTCTGTCTTGAGGACGCAGGGCTAAACTGTTGTCTCATCTAAATGTTGAGCATGGACAGGCCTGCTCCCGAGGTCACTAGCAACTATTGCGATTTGGTTTCACCGTGAGTTCTTGCCAGAGGCCTCCCTACCCTTCTTGAGTCAATTGTTGGATTCTTCGGCCTTGGCGGGTAATCATCCACTCGAGACGAACATGCCCCATCACTGCCTTTGATCTCCTGTAGGGCCGGGTTAGCGGTGCATCGTAGTTCATCCTTGCTTTGCAGTGCGAGTGAGGGGCACACTCGCCTGCATTGCCCGAGTTGTGAGAGACTAAAATTAGCAGCTTTGCCCTGGTGTGCTTGATCTACCTGTGGAGACCATGGTGGCAACACTCTACCCTTTGTTGTGCTCTCCTAGGTGACTGCACAAATTTTGCGCGGCGCCCCCAAGGCACGATATCTTGCAGCCCAACTGCCGAAACTGCGAAGTTGCGGCTGGCAGTGTAAGTTGTGGAACGGTACTGGTGCACATTCGCAAGGGCTCAGTACCCCAAGTGCTAGCCTGCATATGTCATGGTTGCAGACCCCCCACTCGGGAACTGTGGAGAACTCGAGGCTCAAAGCTCAAGCGGCCCAAACCCGGGTCCAATTTCCATGCGGGTCAAGATGATGCAAGATGACGGGAAACGCTGCAGGGGTACATGGTGAGCGATTCTGCACCTGTGCTGCACCGAACCGAAGACAGACACAAGCCTCGTGGAAACAGATGTGGAAGTGCTTCGTGGACTGCTAGTGAGTTGAGTCTTGTTTAACCGCTCCGGGAGCGGTTCCGAAGCCTTGGGAGGACTGCAGCATGTGCATATTGTCTCGGGCGATGTTTCCCACTCCTCCCGCATTTCGAGGGGGTGTCGAACCAGATGTCGTCGGAAAAGCATCATCCTAGTCCAAATCGGACCCGACGCGTGAGGTCTCGAAGATGCTCTTCAGCCCACGATCCAAAGACAGTAGTTGTATACGGTGTCGCTTTAGTCATTGCGTGCCTCGAGGCTCCTTGTTGGATCCGTCGCTGTGCGCACCAGCGCTTCCACTCCTGACTCCTGTCGTCGAGGATAAGTGCCACTAGCGAGTACCGGAGCGGCCAATTGAATGAGAGTAAGACTGTGAAAACAACCATGCGGAGCAAAAGGGCCGGCCGCACTGGACCGCACTTTGGCGGAGGCCTTGGCTTTGGGTGGGCGACTCCTCCTCGTCGCAAACCTGGCCAACGTTGACGGCCGGCAGCTCAAGCAGTTGTGCAACCATGCTTCTGCACTTGTGCGTGCCACTGCCCCCTACTGTACGGCGGCGCAAAAGCGCCGTAAGCGGAGGTTTTGACACCATAATGCAGGAGTGTGCTGCACTCGACAGCAGCACACTCAGCACTTCAGCATTGATCCTCCTGCAGATGCTGGCTGCAGAGCTCAGGGCACACACCCAGTCAAACCGGATGTGTTATTAATACATCTTGAGCAGCAGCAGAAGGAAGAGGAGGAGGAGGAGGAAGAGGAGCGGCCATTAGCATCAGCAGTAGCGTCGCAGTACCTGTAGCATCAGCAGCAGCAGCAGTAGCAGTGGCAGTAGCAGCAGCAGTAGTAGCAGCAACAGCGGCCTCGTGCAAGTGCGAGTACTAGCACTGGTACCAGTGCTGGTACTACTGCTGGCATTAGCGGCAGCAGTAGCCGTAGCAGTAGCAGAAGCAGTAGCAGTGGCAGTAAGTAGAGGTGGTGGTGGTGGTAGTAGTAGCAGCAGCAGCAGCCGTAGTCGCAGCAATTGTAGTAGTAGCAGCAGGAACTGTGCTAGTGGTAGTTGTAGCAGCAGCAGCAGCAG